TGGATGGGTGGGTGGATGGGTGGATGGATGGCCACCCAGATGGTAGGAGGTAGAACACACTTGCAAATGGATTCATGAAGGGCCTCACCTTGTACTCATGGCTTCAGTCAAGAATGTGGCACACAGAAGTGCAGAGAGCAGAGGAAGCAAGTGCCCCAGCCCACCGCCCCGTGCTGGCCTCCCAGAGGCTGCAGCCAGGAACTCACGGGTGCAGGAGCGGGTCCCCTGGATGGTGGAGCTGAGGTTGCCCGCCCAGGCCCACACGGACACGGTGTAGCAGGTGCCGGGCACCAGATCCCTCAGAGTCAGGCTGGAATTGTCCGGGCCCAAGTCAACGAGACTGCCCGGTGACCTCTGGCTGCCCTCTGGGTGCCACATGACCCTGTAGCCTTCCCGCTGCCCTGGTGCTGGGGCCCAGCCCATGGACAGGTCAGAGGGGCTGCCCCTGCTGGTGACCTCCAGTGACTGTGGTGCCAGAGGACCTGAAGAGAGAGGCAGGTGGTGAGGGGACCACCCAGTGCGGTGCCCCTGCCCAGCTCTCCTGAGTCTCTCCCCTGCTCTGACTTCCCTCCCCAGGGCAAGGGGAGACAGCAGCTGGCACTCACGTGTGTAGCCTGTGAGGCTCTGGGTGATGACTCCTAAAGAGGAAGTGATATCCACCTGGTAGCGGGCCCCGGGCACCAGCCCACAAAAGGTGATATGTGTGGCACCAGGTGGCACGGAGATGTTTCCAAGGAGGCCTGGGGCACCCTCAGCACAGAGCAGTGCCCGTCTCCCAGGCTCCCTGGTGGCCTCCAGACCATCCAGCTGCAGCTTGGTGCCATTGCATGATCTAGGTGGGGCTGCAGGACCTGGAGAGGAGGCAGGCCCCAGACAGTGAGGCCCCACCTGCCTCTCGATGCTGATGGCCCCGGGCAGGACCCCACCCTGCTCCCTCCAGGCCTGGACTCACCGTCCAGCCAGGTGCAGGCCTGGGCCCAGGCATCATAGGGCCCAGCCAGGACCCTCAGCTCCAGAGTGTAGTGCCCAGCGGGCAGGGGCCCTGGGAACGTGGCATTGAGGGCCTCGGCGCCCAAAGTGGTGTTCTCCTCCACCGGCCCACTGAGCCGCAGCAGGAAGCCATCCCGGGCACCCGGCCCTACCTTCCAGCTCACCCAGAGCCTGGGGGGTAGGGGAGTCAACACCAGGTCGAGGGGGGCAGAGGGATCTGTGGAGAAGAGGATCTAGGATGTGCAGAGAGACCTAAGCAGCGAGTGAGAACTGCTCTCTCTGTGCTGCTCCTTCCTGCACACACCGGGCCGTGTCTGTCCAGATGTGAGCAGCCACCATGTGCCACGTGCTGGATGAATCCCAGGATCTAGCTGCTACCATCTGGCCACGGACAACAATAGTTGAAATGAGAACACATCAGGTGATCCGATGTGTCCCTGCCAGCTTGGTTCTGAGCACGCTACACGTAGTGTCTTATGCTTAATCCTCGCAACGCTGGGAGGTGGACGCTACTATTATCACCCCCTTTTTTTTTTTTACTTTTTTATTTTTTTTGAGACTGAGTCTCACTCTCTTGCCTGGGCTAGAGTGCCATGGCATCAGCCTAGCTCACAGCAACCTCAAACTCCTGGGCTCAAGCGATCCTCCTGCCTCAGCCTCC